CAGATGCCGTGATGGTGTCTTTTACTGGCGCCGTGATGGTGCCATGAAACTGATAAGATGCCGTGATGGTGTCTTTTACTGGCGCCGTGATGGTGCCATGAAATTGATAAGATACCGTGATGGTGTCTTTTACTGGCGCCGTGATGGTGCCATGAAATTGATAAGATGCCGTGATGGTGTCTTTTACTGGCGCCGTGATGGTGCCATGAAATTGATAAGATGCCGTGATGGTGTCTTTTACTGGCACCGTGATGGTGCCATGAAACTGATAAGATGCCGTGATGGTGTCTTTTACTGGCGCCATGATGGTGCCATGAAATTGATAAGATGCCGCGATGGTGTCTTTTATTGGCGCCGTGATGGTGCCATGAAATTGATAAGATGCCGTGATGGTGTCTTTTACTGGCGCCGTGATGGTGCCATGAAATTGATAAGATGCCGTGATGGTGTCTTTTACTGGCGCTGTGATGGTGCCATGAAATTGATCAGATGCCGTGATGGTGTCTTTTACTGGCGCCGTGATGGTGCCATGAAATTGGTAGTTTCCCCCCCCGTGATGGTGTCTTTTACTGGCGCCGTGATGGTGCCATGAAATTGATAAGATGCCGTGATGGTGTCTTTTACTGGCGCCGTGATGGTGCCATGAAATTGATAAGATGCCGTGATGGTGTCTTTTACTGGCGCCGTGATGGTGCCATGAAATTGATAAGATGCCGTGATGGTGTCTTTACTGGCGCCGTGATGGTGCCATGAAATTGATAAGATGCCGTGATGGTGTCTTGTGATGGTGCCATGAAATTGATCAGATGCCGTGATGGTGTCTTTTACTGGCGCCGTGATGGTGCCATGAAATTGATAAGATGCCGCAATGGTGTCTTTTACTGGCGCCGTGATGGTGCCATGAAATTGATAAGATGCCGTGATGGTGTCTTTTGCTGGCGCCGTGATGGTGCCATGAAATTGATAAGATGCCGTGATGGTGTCTTTTACTGGCGCCGTGATGGTGCCATGAAATTCATAAGATGCCGTGATGGTGTCTTTTACTGGCACCGTGATGGTGCCATGAAACTGATAAGATGCCGTGATGGTGTCTTTTATTGGCGCCGTGATGGTGCCATGAAATTGATAAGATGCCGTGATGGTGTCTTTTACTGGCACCGTGATGGTGCCATGAAACTGATAAGATGCCGTGATGGTGTCTTTTACTGGCGCCGTGATGGTGCCATGAAATTGATAAGATGCCGTGATGGTGTCTTTTACTGGCGCCGTGATGGTGCCATGAAATTGATCAGATGCCGTGATGGTGTCTTTTACTGGCGCCGTGATGGTGCCATGAAATTGATAAGATGCCGTGATGGTGTCTTTTAACTGGCGCCGTGATGTGCCATGAAAATTGCTAAGATGCCGTGGATGGGTCTTTTAACCGGCTCCGTGATGGTGCCTTAAAGTGAATCAATGCCGTGATGGTGTTTTACTGCTCCGTGATGGTGCCATGAAATTGATAAATTCCGTGAAATGGTGGTCTTTTACTGGCGCCGTGATGTGCCATGAAATTGGATAGATGGCCGTGATGGTGTCCTTTTACTGGCGCCGTGATGGTGCCATTAAATTGATAAGATGCCGTGATGGTTGTCTTTACTGGCGCCGTGAATGGTGCCATGAAAATTGATAAGATGCCGTGATGTGTCTTTTAACTGGCTCCGTGATGGTGCCATGAAATTGATAAGATACCGTGATGGTGTCTTTTACTGGCGCCGTGATGGTGCCATGAAATTGATAAGATGCCGTGATGGTGTCTTTTACTGGCGCCTTGATGGTGCCATGAAATTGATAAGATGCGGTGATGGTGTCTTTTACTGGCGCCGTGATGGTGCCATGAAACTGATAAGATGCCGTGATGGTGTCTTTTACCGGCGCCGTGATGGTGCCATGAAATTGATCAGATGCCGTGATGGTGTCTTCTACTGGGGCCGTGATGGTGCCATGAAATTGATAAGATGCCGTGATGGTGTCTTCTACTGGCGCCGTGATGGTGCCATGAAATTGATAAGATGCCGTGATGGTGTCTTTTACTGGTGCCGTGATGGTGCCATGAAACTGAGAAGATGCCGTGATGGTGTCTTTTATTGGTGCCGTGATGGTGCCATGAAATTGATAAGATGCCGTGATGGTGTCTTTTACTGGCGCCGTGATGGTGCCATGAAATTGATAAGATGCCGTGATGGTGTCTTTTATTGGCGCCGTGATGGTGCCATGAAATTGATAAGATGCCGCGATGGTGTCTTTTACTGGCGCCGTGATGGTGCCATGAAATTGATAAGATGCCGTGATGGTGTCTTCTACTGGCGCCGTGATGGTGCCATGAAATTGATGCCGTGATGGTGTCTTTTACTGGCGCCGTGATGGTGCCATGAAATTGATAAGATGCCGTGATGGTGTCTTCTACTGGCGCCGTGATGGTGCCATGAAATTGATAAGATGCCGTGATGGTGTCTTCTACTGGCGCCGTGATGGTGCCATGAAATTGATAAGATGCCGTGATGGTGTCTTTTACTGGCGCCGTGATGGTGCCATGAAATTGATAAGATGCCGTGATGGTGTCTGAACTGGCGCCGTGATGGTGCCATGAAATTGATCAGATGCCGTGATGGTGTCTTCTTACTGGCGCCGTGATGGTGCCATGAAATTGATAAGATGCCGTGATGGTGTCTTCTACTGGCGCCGTGATGGTGCCATGAAATTGATAAGATGCCGTGATGGTGTCTTCTACTGGCGCCGTGATGGTGCCATGAAATTGATAAGATGCCGTGATGGTGTCTTCTACTGGCGCCGTGATGGTGCCATGAAATTGATAAGATGCCGTGATGGTGTCTTTTACTGGCGCCGTGATGGCGCCATGAAATTGATAAGATGCCGTGATGGTGTCTTCTACTGGCGCCTTGATGGTGCCATGAAATTGATAAGATGCCGTGATGGTGTCTTCTTACTGGCGCCGTGATGGTGCCATGAAATTGATAAGATGCCGTGATGGTGTCTTTTACTGGCGCCGTGATGGTGCCATGAAATTGATAAGATGCCGTGATGGTGTCTTCTTACTGGCGCCGTGATGGTGCCATGAAATTGATAAGATGCCGTGATGGTGTCTTTTACTGGCGCCGTGATGGTGCCATGAAATGATAAGATGCATGGTGTCTTTTACCGGCGCCGTGATGGTGCCATGAAATTGATCAGATGCCGTGATGGTGTCTTTTACTGGCGCCGTGATGGTGCCATGAAATTGATAAGATGCCGTGATGGTGTCTTTTACTGGCGCCGTGATGGTGCCATGAAATTGCTAAGATGCCGTGATGGTGTCTTTTACTGGCGCCGTGATGGTGCCATGAATTTGATAAGATGCCGTGATGGTGTCTTTTACTGGCGCCGTGATGGTGCCATGAAATTGATAAATACATATTTCAGCTTTTTCCTGTTGTGACATTTTGCTGTTGTGTCTTCCCATTTTGACGAACGGCAACGGGAAATGTCACGTTTTGACACAGTATTTTAGGGTACCCCATTTTGAACTATACCCAAATATGTCAATGTGTCCATCCCAGCTTGGGTTCCAATAGCTATCCATAGTTATGTCTTGATGCGGGAGAAGTTGAGAACCAGAATCAGCATCAAAAGGGATGACTAGCTCCATCAGAGGACCACTTTCATGTCAACCTGGATATGGGACTTGTGATGTTGATCATGTAGTCTGGTTGAATATTGCTGATTCAAATCCTGTTGACGTCCCCGGTTGGTTTTGCTCCTAAAATCTTGTCACTCAACATCCCCGTAAAACCGTCATGTTTAAGGGATACAGTATATTGTTATCACCATGTTTCACCAATAGTTCCATTTTATTTCCAAAGTTTCACCATGTTTCACCAGCCCCAGGCCGACCGCCAGCGTCGCACCCCGCCCCGGCGCCGTCCTTTGGCGCCAGCGCCGCGCCGGGCGGACACGGCCACGCGGTGGACTTCGGCCGCATCGGCGCCGGTGCGCGAAACCGGTGGGAATGGAGGAATGGACAGACAGTTTTTGGGGAGTTAGAGGTATTAAATACGGTATTTATGGTTAGTTACATGGTACATATGGTACTGTTTGAAAGGTACCCATGGATTTTCAACATCTATGTTAATTAGTGGTGTAGAGGATATTTAGATGGTGTTTTAGTAGGAATTTAATTCTCAACAGCAGTGACTGTTGGGGTTCCCTCTCTGGATTTGAGAGTTGTGGGCCGTTCTTGGAGCCCGCCCTGAAAACCGGAACGGAACCCTGGAACCTTCTATTGGGTTGCAAAGCGGGGTTAATGGATATTTGATGGGCAAAGATTGTATTTAATAGATATTTAATGGATATTTAATGGATATTTAATGTATATTCAATGGATATTTGATGTATATTTAATGGATATTTGATGGATATTTGATGAATATTTAATGGATATTTAGACATTTTCAGGGTTGTTAATCAGAGGACGGGTAACCCGGCACGGTATTCCGCAGATATTCAGGGCCAAATCTCACCAAGATAATCCCACAGATCTGACATGGCCTTCAGTTTTTGATCCTTGCCCAAATACCCTCTGGTAATTTAACATAGCTATTGAAAATTGCCATTTATAGTGAGTTTTCCCATTAAAAATTGTGATTTTCCATAGTTATGTTAGTTTACCAGAGGGTAATAGACATGGAATAGAAATGAAATATGAAAATCAAATATCCACATCAAGCTTCCATTCAAGATTCCCCCAGTGTTTTGTCACCATTTTTTTGGGATTCCGCAGATGGCCGCACGTCTCTTTGGAGTCATGTGCTTCCTGGGGCCTTTGGTGCCATGCCTGCGATGGTCGTGGTTGCGAGTTGACTTCAATGAGACATGAGTGGCTGAGAAATCCCAGTACTACCAGAACTAAGTGGGCATTTCAATGATTAAAACATTCATTGGGATGAGACAAGCCATTTGATTGGGATCAATAAACGATTTTTATGAAATTAACAATGGTTCGTAATGGTTCATAATCATAATTCTAGTCATTTTTATTTAGATAAGGGTCAGTGTGATCAATTTCATTTTCCAATCATATTAGTTGTGGATTTGACATGGTAGAACGATCATTTTCGATTATATGTGTTGTTAAATACCCACCCCTTATGGCCCCCGGGGAGGTGCGATTTTGATGCCAATGGCGATTTCC